AGAGAGTCTCTCTCTCTCTCTCTCTCTCTCTCTCTCTCTCTCTCTCTCTCTCTCTCTCCGTCCTCCCGTTCGCTTTCATATGCGGGCGGTACAGGCGCTTGCCGTCTGCGACCCATCTGGTTGTCACGGTAACCTCAGGGAATCTTGTAAGATAATTAGCTAGGCGCTGGACGTGCCTCGTAATTTGGCACGACAGTGTGACCCGGTGAAAAGGAATGCAGTGAACCCCATTTGCCACGCTGGAGGTGGAGTGTGTGCCCTTTGACCTCTGTACCCTGACGGGGTCAAAGGTCAATCCACTAGCCCGAACCCTGCGACAAGAGAATCGATGTCCCGTCGCAATTTAATAATGAGGATCACGTCTGTAGCGTTCGCCCCCATGCTGGATTGATTGTCATCCTTTCCAGGAATGACACATGCTGCTGTTCTCACGCGATTTGAAGGTCCCCTCGCAGGACCCCGGTGCAACTGTTGTCCTTCCATCTGTTTTGACTCATCTCCTCCTGTTCATCAGTCTCCCTGTCTCTGACCCGCGTTGCCGTCTCCGACAGAGCTATGCATTTAAATTAGAGTTGAAACGTAGCGACTTGTGCAGTCTAAACACAGCCTCGGACCTGAAGGCATTTAGATGTGAAGTGAGTTTTGCGGCCGCCTGTCAGTGATGATACCGGTGCATATTGACTATATGGAAGGCAACAGGTTTTTTATATACTTATCGCAGATGAATATTGACATGGGGATTTCTGTGCGGGTCTTTTATTTGTAAAATCTTGCGAAACCAACAATTTCACAGCGCTTTGATGCGACTTATCTGTCCACACTGACTGCAGAACTGTTACACAGTTGTATATATATATATATATATATATATACGAGAACAGAGGTCGCGGTACAGGTTCCCGGTTTGTGTCCGTTCTCGAACCGTTCCGTGTATTTTCACTGTAGAAAAGGTTATTCCGGGCCGAAACTGACTTCTTTCATATTTGTCGACCAGTATGCAGAAAACTACGTCAGTATATCATCATAAACACAGCCGTTTTTGTCTTACGTGAACGTAAACAGATGAGAAAGAAAACACACATGAACAGTATTTTTAGATCTGCGTCAGTTCTGTGTTAAAGAGACAGCAGACGAATAAACGCGCTGCCTGTCATTAATGTTAATCAAAGAACAAAAGAAAATCATTCACTGATCTTGACTGAATATATTTAATAACTTTAATTGATTAATCTATATTTTATTTATGAAAAGAAAACTATGCAGTGTTTTTAAACTTTTAATTACAGTTTCTGTACCTGAAATTTTGTTCAGTTGTATTTATTTATGATATTGCTAATTGATTTGTTTGTTCCTATCTTATTACTGACTGTTTACTTGTCTTTAACACTTTAATATTTGAAATTTATATTAATCTAGTTGTTTTTGCTGTGGTATTTTTTTTAAAGCATAGGCAAAATTCCTCTTGCAATGTTCTGTAGGCTGCTGATTTTTGCTCGTGTTATTCAGCTGCAACAGAATGTTTTGTAAAAAGACAGAATAAATGTTTGACATCTAAATGTTTGACTTCATTTTTTTTATATTGGATTTTTTATCTTATTGGAATCGAAACTAGCAATCGATAAGAATCTGAATCGATAAGCAGAATCGGAATCGATAAAATTCAAACGATACCCAACCCTACATTTTATTTATTTATTAGGAAATTGAAAATAAAGAAATTTTGTTTTTATTTATTTTGACATTTTAAATTAAGCAATAAAGAATTTGATGAACAATCTCATTTGTATATTTCTTTGTATATTTCTTGTTATGCTACACAAATGATTTGTTTTGTGCCTCTTTTTATCTTTTTTTTTTTTTTTTCTTTTTTGAAAATTAGTATCATGCTGGTCATGCTAGTTCAAACTAGTGTAGGGTGACCATACGTGCCATTTTCCCAGGACGCGTCCTTGCCAGGATTTGTTTTGGCTTTGTTTTCATGCTTGCTGAAGGTAATGATCGAAAAGTAGTTTGACCAATAACATGCAGGCATTGTACATAATGGACCAATCATGGTGTGTGTGAGAAGGTGGGATCTACGGTCAAAGCGATGCAATTACGCGTACATAGGATGTGTGTTCGACTTAAAAGCAGCGCGGCTCAGATTGATCAGTGTTTGACATCAAAGTACCTCGAGAGCATTTTGAAAGCATAAGGAACCTTCTGTATGGTATTTTGATGTCATACACCGATCGGTCTGCACACGCAAACAAAGCCAAAACCTAGATATTTTAGGCAATATAGAAATCCTGGCCAGGGAAAATGGCACGTATGGTCACCCTAAACTAGTGTAGATTTGTTAGTATTTGTCACCTCAGCATAGTTTGCATGCCCTGTATAAACATTGTGGATTGGCAGACAACTTCATTCATTTTGATGGGAATGATCTAGCTTTATCACGTCACGTTACACTTGTAGTGTTCTGTGGTCTGCATGGGGCTGCATGATTATACTGTAGA